ATGATAGTGTTGTGAGTGAGATCATCAGACGTCTGAGCACAGAAGAAAGAAAGGTGTGTGAAGACTATAGAATGATAGAGGGTATGCTGTTCTGAGCAAGAGCGGGTTAGAAAGACTCTGTGTGCCCAATAACTAATCACGTAGGATGATAGGAGCCTATTTTGAGGAGAATGTCAATGGTTCAATTTGGGTTAAAAAAAATGACTTGATGCAATGGGTCACTTATGAAGAGGGCCACCGTGGTCTACTTTGCCAGGTTTTTCAAAGAAACCGGCCCAGAACACAGGCCCCTCTCGGCTTCATAAAGCCACTTCCCATACCTGGAGGACCAGGTCAATCCCTCGCCACATGGACATGTGGTCACCCGCTTTCTAATACCTGTAGCTAAACCGACCTTCAGCTCTCTTGGGCGCTGGCTCCTTCTCTGGATAGGGTGCGGGGCATCATGGTTTCAAACAGGGACTGGTATGATGGTATGTCAATCTCAAGGGTGGGCGAGGAGGACGCTGCTCATTGACCGATTTGAATCATTTGATCAATTTTACCTGCCGGTGGACGTTGTGTGCAGTTTGTCATTTGTGGTTGGTTGTGTTCGTGGTCAGGAATGGAGGGGAGTGTTGTGGGTAGGCCTCTGTAGAGTGACATCGTGCCATCAGTATTGGACAATCAAGTTCATTCAACCTCATTATACATTGTGTGGGGGGCAATTTTTTTATATTTTGTGATCATGAGCACATAGGTCCTGTGATGCTTTGTAACTGCAATAATGAATGGAGAGATGTCACGATGGACACACTGTAAACGGGGAATGGGATTCCATTTTGTGCAAATGCAGCTTGTGGGGATGAAATTCCATTGAAGCTGCTTACACAGAGTGCAAACGTGGTTTCTGGAAAGGGTATTGAATATGTCGGAAGATAGTGTGCAGCAAATTCTGCCCACTTTCCTTTCTGCTTGGTGGGTCATCTGTCCCGACTTCATGGAGAAATCATTGTTTGCTAGTCGCTGCATATATCAACCATTGTTGAGACTTGAGAGTAGTTGCCCATCACCCAGTCCATGTGGCTGACTGGTACACCCATGACATGTTGATAAGCGGACCTCAGTTCGAATCCTCATAGAGTCGGAGAAGCAGAATAACTCTGGATTACCTAGGGCTGGTCAGTTGCATGGTGGTACCCTACCCATGACATGTTGATAAGCGGACCTCAGTTCGAATCCTCATAGACTCGGAGAGTAGAATAACTCTGGATTACCTAGGGCTGGTCAGTTGCATGGTGGTACCCTCAATCTCATGGCCCTTTTTTTATTTGTAAGCACTTGCTTGATCGTCACTGCATTTCTCATCATTGTTAAAACATGGTTACTTACTATTTAGGCGAAGAATAAGAATACCCTCATTTTGTGATACAGATCTTACAGGTGCAAGTTTGTTATGACTCTTATTTAATGGCAGGGAGGTGGTGTGTTTGTAAAGGTTGTTGCAGCTCTGTTTTATGGTGGAAAAGGTGTGGGAGATGACAGTATTTACTGGTGTATGGATGCAGGTTTGCTCCTAGTAAGCAGTGGCATATTGACACTATGATTCGTGTAATGAGTGAGGTAGGGATGTCCTTTCTCTTTAGTTGCTTTTCTATAACTCTGTCATATTGCCTGTTTTTGAGTCATGGGGTGGCCGTGGGTTGTGAGTTCTGTACCTATTCTTGACTGCTTGGATCGGGGGCATGGTATTAGCTTCAATGTCACTAGTTTCCTGAACAAATTGGACTCAGTGGCTGGATGGTTTGATTTTTCAGACACCAGAGGATATTAGGTGCTTCCTCTGGCGTGCAGTGATGGTCCCTCTCACTGTTAACACACATGAAGCTAAACTGCGGAAACTAACCGGTCGAGATCTTGCCCAGTTTTACTTGTGCGAACTGGGATCCCCGATGAAATGGCATCCAGATTTAGCAGACCAGCTTATGATCCAGGCTGGCGATGGCATCTAATACCACTCTTTTGAGATGCAGCTGCGAGCAATTCTCTTGATCCATGGTGTTATTGTTTTCATGAGGAACGGTGACCTGGTTCTGAGCTCAGCCTCCCCGAGCACTGCACCGCGCCAACCTTCGCCAAGCCCTACCTACTTGCAGCCTTTCTGCACTCAGGTCAAGCATGCCCTGCACCACTGCAGCAAGCCCACACAAAGTGGGTTGTTGAATGTGATGGAAGTGGTGGCAGCTTAAGTCACATTGAGCATACCATGAAGATGAAACTCAAATCACAGGCAAATTCTGCTCTCATTTACCAGCTTGACTGAACTGCAAAGCAACGAGTAGAAACGAGAGAGCAGTCATCAGACGTGCACAATATTGACAATACTGAGGTCTTTGATGAATAATGGATTCCCTTTTTGCCTCCAACCAAGTGGTAGATCCAGGCTGAGGGTGGGATCGACTACCAGATTTTGCGAGTTTGCAGCTATGATTCTCTTGATCCACAGTGAATGGTACCAATTTGACTGTGAATGGTACCAATTTGACCTGGTACTGGGGTCAACCATCCACCCAGCACTATACCCCACCTACCTTTGCCCAACCTACGTATTTGTATCCTTTCTCCACTTCCTTAACCGTCAGAGATATCGTAGGAGTCAACCATGTCCACAGAACCTATGCACATCAAAGGCTGTCTGTACTGTTCCAGACGTTTCCAGGAGCTACCGTCTTCCCCCGAATAAAATGCCCAGCCATTATCGTTGCATCTCGTCTGAAAGTTGCCCCGAGGACAGCTATAACGACCGGGCATTTTATTCGGGTGGAGATGGTAGTGGATGAAGGCACACATTGGCCGACAATAAATCTGGGCCACTGGATTGGGAAATGTCAGGCGGACAAGGAGGCAAACTGAGGATGGCCAAGACTGGTCAACACTACAAAAGCGTTGTGTGGCCCAGTCGGCTTATTCATCGTGCGTTGCACAGCTGGAGGCAGAAGCACTGCACCATTCAGTGCTGGAGGAGGCTGGTGCCAGGGAAGAATAAGACAGCACCAGCCAGGGAATAAGAGAGAGAGAGAGAGAGAGAGAGAGAGAGAGAGAGAGAGAGAGAGAGAGAGAGAGAGAGAGTAGCCATAGCTAATGAGGGTGCTGCCAAGACCGGTCGACGCTCCAAAATCGTTGTCTGCCCCAGCCGGTTTATTCATCGTGCCTTGCGCTGCTGGAGGCCGGAGCACTTCTCCATTCAGTGCTGGAGGAGGCAGGAGAGGCTGGCGCCAGGGAAGAAGAAGACAGCACCAGCCAGGGAACAGGGGGTAGAGAGAGAGAGTAGCCATAGCTAAGAAGGGTGCTGTCAAAACCGTTTGACACTGCAAAGGCGTTGTCTGCCCCAGTCGGTTTATTCAYCGTGCCTTGCGCTGCTGGAGGCCGGAGCACTGCTCCATTCAGTGGCCGGAGCACTTCTCCATTCAGTGCTGGAGGAGGCAGGAGAGGCTGGCGCCAGGGAAGAAGAAGACAGCACTGGCCAGGGAATAGAAGAGAGACAGAGTAACCATAGCTAAGAGTGTGCGTGAGCGCGACAGCTGTAAGTGAGGAAGGGGGTGATCAATATTTCTGAGGAGGGAGAGAGTGAGGGAGCTTCCATGACTTACCTGTTGACACTGGTGGTACTGAAGAAGTCTTTTGCACTTAAAAAGAGGTGGCAGGCACCAGCCTCCATAGCTGGGCTTTGTTGCTGGAGGTTGGGCAACTGGGCAGAGATCTGCGAGAAGTTTATCGGTTTAATGAGGTTGGAGGTGCATGCTAAGGTGGCAAGTTTTGGGCAGAAGGTCCCGGAGGAGAGGGGGAACTTAAGAGCCGTTCCTATTGCAATTATTGACTCAATTCATTGTTAATAAAGCTTTCCTCCTTTCTACTGCTTATCCACCTTTGTCTCACGTCTGGTTACTTGCTGCTGAGCCTGGGACTTCGTTGAGTGCTTCATGCCTTATCCTACATTGCGATGGGTTCCATATTGAGTGCATTGAGACTATTTGCATGTTCCTGTTAGCGAAGCTCCTCGAGATTGCTGGATTCGTTACACTTGCTCTTCAGCACATTTTTTCTTCTTTGGCTCAGTTTGTTTGCGACTTCAACAGCACCAATCTTGGGAGGGACTTTCTGTGGTATTCTCTGTTCCACACGGGCCCTCCGCAGGCCCCGGTCTGTAGGCTTAGGGGTTAGCGGGGTTAGTAGCGCATGGTTTCGTTAGCGCCAGGCCCCAGGTTAGAGGTCCGGTTAGGCCACCAGCAGGGGGCACAGGTCTCGTGCGCCGCTTGGTTTGAGCACCAGGCCACAGTACCGTTCGGGTGCCAGTTTAGGTGCTAGACACTTTTTCACGCTACCGCCGGGCGCCAAGTTTAGGCGTCAAGACCAGCGTTATATATAGCTGTCGGCCTCAGTTTAGACATTCTTCCGGTAGTAGTAGTAGTCGACGATAGGTAGGGATGAGTAGTTTTCCATTGCTGGGTGCAGCATCAGGTTTCGGCCATCTGCTTGAGCCACAGTTCACTGCAGCAGGGGTCAGGGAGAGGTCCGGCTACGGCGGAGGCCAGGGGACTTACCTGTGACGCCATCGCTCCAGCTTCGTCTTCGGTGCGTCCATATCTGCATCAAGGCGACACCTTTTGCAGGTCCGTACCTGGTACAGAGAGAGAGAGAGAGCTCTTCTCTTCTTCTTCCTCCTCCTCTAGTCCATCGCCCTTCTCTTCCCCCTCCACTGCTCTGGTCTGCTTCTTCTTTGACTATGGAGAGAGAGAGAGAGAGAGAGAGAGAGAGAGAGATTTGCGACATTCGGATTCAGATTTGACATTTGGGCAGAGACATTGTGGGGGACTATTTTTGGATTGGTACCAACGACATTTTGAGTTGACGACATTCTCCATACCTTCCCCCTTCGTCTCTCCTCTCTCCTCATCTGTGTATGATTACGTGCCTGGCACCCTTCGACTGTGTGTTCGGCGCCAGGCCACTCACACCGTGTGATGATGATGATGGTGATGTTTTGTCTGTGTCACGACATTGATTGGGTCTGATTGTTGGTATTTCAGTCTTCCGCTGAGGTCGGTTCCTGGTTCTGGTCTGCGCCATACCAACCCAGACAATCTTTTTCAAATGTTCTTTAAAAAAATAAATCATACGAACATCTGAATGAGGACGCCGCCTGGCCGGGAAGGCCCGAGGGGGCTGCCTGGGTAAACCGGGTGGGCCAGAAAAACGCCTAGATTTTTTTTTTTTTTTTTTTCCGGAACCAGGGTCGTTCTGCGCTCGGCGAGAGCCCAAATCTGCAATAAAATTTTGGTTGGGGGGGGGCGCGGGTTGGTCTGGGTGGGCGATGCTGGGGTTGGGGGGGTGTCTGGGATGGATGATGGAGGATGGGGAGATGGGATTGAGGGAGGGAGGAATGCAGGATGGAGGATGGAGAAAGGCAGGGAGGAGTAGGGAAAGAAGGGGAAGAAGAAGACGAGGAGAGAAGAAGACCTAATGAGGGGGGAGGAAGAAGAAGAAGAAAGATGCAATCAGACTCGACTCATTCACACTTTTCATGCGTGTAAACAGCGGCACAGCAAACTGGCGACATGCGCCCACACAGAACTCAGAGATATGGTGTCCAGATAAGAGTTCGCTTCCACTGGCTATGGCGGCTTAGCGCCCAACAACTCACTGTTCACACACCTGGATATCCCACACGCATCACTCTGAACACTCACACATCACACACACACACCAGCTACAGCTATGGCAGCTATGGCTGCCTCTACGCTACAGCTATGCTAAGCTCCTGGCCCACTTCGACTTCGGGCACACTGCAGACCTCCTCGCACAAGCCGCTGAGACAGCGCTTCCGCATGGCTTCCGCAGGAATGAATGAATGGCTTTGCGCGGCCTCTTGATTTATACTTCTGTGGCTCGTCGGCCTGCCCTGTTTCCCTGGCCCATGGTGCACACAGTCCCAGGCGGTACTTGCGTGACTGGACTGAGACTGCTGACTCTGCAGGGTGGACTTCCACCACTTGCCCACTTGCCTTGACCTACAGTGGGCTGACCCCCGAAAGGCCACTTCTAGAAGTATCTATTTGGCCTTTCAGTCCTGTAGCAGCTACGACTTTTGCCCTTTCAGGTAAGTAGCGGCTACGACTTTGACCCTTCGGAAAGCCTACAGCTAAGACCTCTGGACTCTCTAGACTCCTACCCGACAGGTCTACAGTTCGAATCCCCTATACCCCGTAACCTACGATGACCTACCTACCACTGGCAGTCCTACAGGTCGCAGGTTCAACTCTACGGGTTGACACAGGTGCTGTACACAGGTAAGGTGGGGACTAGGGGTCGAGCCCTGGGATCTGCATCAGCTACTGCGAACTGGTGAATACTGTTTCAAAGAGGTGAGGAGGGGAAGAATAAGAAGATGAAGAAAGGTCGAGGAGAAAGATGAAAACACAAGGGGGAGGAGGGGAAGAAGAAGAAGACGAGATGACGACGAGGAGAGAAGGAGAAGAAGAAGATGACCGAAGGAGGGGGAGGAGGATGGCCTTCGTTTTTTTCTTTTTTTTAAACCCAACGTGTCTCACGTGACCTACCGAAAGTCGACGAAATGAAAGAAGCAGCAGCAGCAGAATGAGAAGAAGAAGAAGAAGAAGAAGAAGAAGAAGAAGAAGATTATGATGATGATGATGATGAAAGGTGGAGGGGAAAGATGAACACGCGAGGGGGAGGAGGGGACGAAGTGGAAGACGAGATGACGACGAGGAGAAAATAAGGAGAAGAAGACGATCGAAGGAGGGGAAGGAGGACGGCCTTTTTTTTTTTTTTTTTTTTTT